TTAGCCGAACTCGAGCTCACTAAAAGCTTGTTTCGTTAATGAGCTGAAGCCTCGGAAAGATAATTTTTTGTATAATATTCTTAAGTTTGTCTTGTTAAATGATGTCAAGCTTGATTGTAAGCTCGTTAATTTAACGAGCCGAGCTCGAGTCATTAAAGGCGCGAACTCGAGCTAGAGCTAGAGCGAGCAACAAGCTCGGCTAGTTTACATACCTATCTTGTTCCAATAACTGTGTTGAAATATGACATAAACAAATGTATTGTCAAAAGATTTCCAAAACTACCACATGGCTGATAGATACATTTGAGATGAACATTGGTTAAAAATCGTAAATGAAGATTGGTTAAATGAGCAATTGTGGTGACTTTCCACCAGACTCCCAAGAAGGGTAAAATAATTAATATTTGCTGCATAGTTGAGGAAATATAGCCGTTTCAAATTGATGTGGACAGGTCCACATTTTGCTGTTATACCTTTGAGGGTTAGTTGAATTAATTTCACACACGAAAGTTGGTGAATTTAGAGCAATCAATTCTCTTAATATCAGCACCTAAAAGTTGAAGTTTCTTGTGAAAATCCTCATAGCCCCTCTCAATATGTGAAATCCCGTAAACTTCAGTGACTCCTTCAGCTGCTAATCCAGCTAAAACTAAAGCTGCGCCTCCTCTTAAGTCACCCGCAACAACCCGACCGCCTCGTAGCTTGCTAGCAAATTACGAAACAAATTAATCATGGCCGAGTCGAGGCGAAAAAAAATGCTCACAATGCGCAATAATTAGAGAAATTTGCACTTTTAGTCATGATAGGATAGAACAATATCTTACTTGCTTGCCTCTATTCCATGAACAAATGCATGACTTTCATGGACCTCAATTTTAGCACCAAGTTTCTGCAATTCTTTCACTAGAAGATCCTCCAAGAAAAAACCCAAAAAATCAATTATTTTGGATAGCTTATATGAAAAAGTAAGCACTAGATGTTTTCATTTGAGCATTTTAAAGGGATTAAGTCATCAAAACTAACTTGAATTTAGCTCAGCTAGTGACCGGAAAACATACTTGTATGAGACGGTCTAACCGTTAAAACAGATCAATCACCATTTTTTTTTTTTTCACAAATTTTCGTTTACGTTGTTCTTTTCAAAAGTCTGCAAATCTATTGAGAAAACAATGATTGTCTAATCGTTACGCCTGTCGAACAGTTCTTTTATTTACGGTTAACTTAGAAAAATCTTTCAATCCGTGAATATATATGAACATGGACAGATCAGAAAGTCGATATATACCATGACTCATTCGGTTTTCGAATACTGATTCTTCCACAATGCTCGAACCGCAACACGTGGCAAGCAACGCCATCGTCTGAGGCTGGAGATCGGTCGGGAATCCCGGGTATGGCTCGGTTTTTAGATCAAAACCAACTAATAGCTCCTCTGCACATACCTGAGTCAATTGCAAACACTATGCATGAGGTAAAAACTCACCAAAAAAAAAAGAAAAAAAAAAAAAAAAAACTCATTATGACACGTGCCTTGAGCACATTGTGCTCGTACGCGATTTTGCACCCAACACGCGATAGCTTGTCGATCAAGCATGACAACGAGCGAGGATCGGCAGCCGGTGACATGGAGATGCTCGACCGGGTGATGGCGGCTGCAAGCATGAAAGTGCCCATCTCGATTCTATCGGGCGTTATGTCGTGCTCCGAGCCTTGTAACCGATTAGTTCCATAAACACGAATCGTGTTCGTGCCGGAACCTTGTATATGTGCCCCTGCTTTCGTTAGGAAGCGAGCGAGATCGACTATTTCAGGTTCCTAAGCAGCAAGATATATTCAAATTTCAATCATCATAATTACATCATTTTTACCATACAATAAAAAAGAGTAATCAAGTTATACTGTATGTTCATAGCTTTATAGTTACTTTGGCAACATTTGAGAGCAGAGTAGTTCCTGTAGCCATGCATGCAGCCATCATCAGAGTTTGAGTAGCTCCGACGCTAGGGTAATCGAGCCGGAATTCACCACCGGTGAGATTTTTTCCATTGGCTGCACGTGCAACCACTTTCGTATCTCTGTTAACATATAAGAAAATGATGTTATTTTAACGGAAAATCCCAATAGATATATTTTCCAAATGGAATTCCTGCTATTATTTCTGTTGGAAATTTTTCAATAGATTACAACGAAAAATTTCGACAAAAATATTTCGTTGGAATGAGTTTTCCATTAAATTTTTTCGCTGGATTTTGACGATTCTAACAAGAGCTTTTTGGTGAAAATGAAAATTGAAACGAAAAATTCCTATGGCATCAAATTCTAACAAGAATTCTAATGAAAAACTCATTCTAACGGAATAGTTTTAGTATTCTCATTCTTCTATCCATGTTTTAGTTAATATTTGACTTGCTAAGATGACATTTGAATCAATTGGTATTGTATAGACTGTTGAATAGATAGGGATGGGCCTCAATTCATATAAGCAAAAACTAACAAAAGGGGAAAAATGAGAAACAGTTGGGGGAAGAGAAATCAGCAAACCTCACTTCAACATAAGCCCCAAGAGCCCGAAGCCCGCTGACATAGATATCAACGGGCCGGGCCCCAATATTGCAGCCGCCCGGAAGCCCAACAACCGCTTCCCCGAACCGGGCCAGCAGCGGCCCGAGTATAAAGAACCCACCCCTGATCTCGCCCATGAGTGCCGGGTCGGGCTCTGTCGACCGGGCCCGGCCCGCATCCACCACCACCTGGTTGCCGGAAAACTCGACCCGGGCCCCCACGGAGGCCAATATGGAGGCCATGGCCCTAATATCGGACACATTGGGCACATTGTTGAGCTTGGATCGGCCCGTGCAGCAGAGTGTGGCCGCTAGTATCGACAGGGCCGAGTTCTTGGATCCGCTGATGTGGACATGGCCCGACAGCCTGGACGCGCCAGCTATCACGAGTTTCGGGCCCTGTTCGGGACAATGGGGTTGGGTTTCGGGTAATGAGTAGTTGACATTAGGCGCCATTTGTGACAGTAAATTAAAGCTTCAAAAGAATTTGGATTTTTTGCTAGCTGAGGCGCCAAATGGGAAAACAGATTATTATATATTATAGAAATGATATTATCAGGCGATTTTTAAATAATTAAATCAGTAACGAGCATTTCACATGGCTGGTTGAATAATGCAGCTCCTTTAATAATTTAGTCGAAAACGTGAATCTGATGGTATAAAATATCTTGTGTGGCAAAGAAAGTGATTGTTAACGGCATCACAACTTTTTTTTTTTTTTTTTTTTTGGGTCTGACGAAATAATTATTGAGCGGGTTGATTCTTATAATTTTTTACTAAAAATACATATTTAATTTACGTCAGAAATTGTAACTGTTAGATTATCATATAATCGTCGAAAATAGTTGATCTAACGTTTACGATTCTGGACGGAATAGTTCCGTATATTTGAGTCATATTTTTGTCTGTACATTTCCACCTATAGATTGTTTCATTTATTACGTCATAACGAGTTTTTTCGATTTGAGGCTTTTAAACTCTTTTTAGAATGAAATGAAATGGGCCTGTGTACACATGAATTTCGGCCCACATGTAAGTTTCCGTCAAATTAAAGGCCGAAAATTGCTCTCGACTGCAAAAACCACGCAATTTTAGGATATTTTAGGATTTTGGAGTCCAGATCCAATCCAGTGAATTCTTTTCGGTCAAACCACGCAATTTTATTAATATATTAATATTATTTGTCCAAACCTAATTACGAAGCATGATTTTTTGCTAAATAGGATTCCGAAGCACCAGAAACAGCCACGTAGGCTCAGCGCATTCGGAAATTATATTATATAAGGAGGAAATATCATGATTTAAAAGGGTATGAAGATATGTTAGGATATTATAATTAGGTCGATTACATCTATGGATCATGGGGAAGACCGTATTGTCCGAATGAGTTTATAGACCTTAATCCAATTATCAATTTAATTAAGAATAAACACAATTTGATTTAGATATATATTTTCTATTAAATAGAAATAATCTCATAACGCAAGATCGAGTATTTTATTATAATTGAAAATTCAGCATTCTCGGTTCACTCTTAGTCGAAAAACTTATTATAGCATGCATATTGTGTGAAATCAAATTCCTTTATAATGACATAAATTCTATTATTATCATCTTTCATAGATTGTGGCGTATCCATAGAATTTCTGCTTCAAACCACAAAAATTTACATATAGAATTACATTACATAATAAGTTGATATGTTGATTAAGAACTACCTACACACACACACACATATATACATACAATATAAAGAACTGTGATCAATACATTACGAATGTATCATAAAAAATTTGTCTTTAAAAAAACATACTAATTAACACTAAATTGCCCAATATTGGAAACTCATTTATGAATTTAGTGTGCTATTTTTTATTTTTATTTTTTTCTTTAATTTTTAATACTTTATTTGGATGTGTGGACACCACCATATGTCAATATCACATGATTTTTCAATTGTTATGCAATCTTCGACCACATGAAGCAATGAATATATTAAAAGTTGTGGCCACCAAAGAATCAAGCAATGAATATATTAAGTTGTGGCCGCCAAAAATGAAACTCGTGCTTTATTATGTGATAACGAAACACTTTATTATGTAATAACCGAACACCAAGACACAAGCGAAATCTATCGTTTCGAAAAAAAAAA